CAGACCACCCATTGAGTCTGGAGAACACATTTCTGTTTTGCTTTATTTTGATCAGATTTGAACAGCAAGTACTAGGAGGGAAGGCGTGCGTGGGTCTGAACAGCTTGTGTAGAGAATTCTTTCCATCCAGTGGCTGCTCTTTCCTCCCCTCCCCCTGACCCTGGCTCTGTGGCTCAGTGTACAAATCAAGGGAATGTTCACGTTGACATCCCCAGATGCCGATGAAGGACACCTCTCGGTCAAGGCAGGGAGCTAATTTGTACAACTCACTCCTTTGCAGCTTGAGGACCAGGGTGCATACATGCTTTTCTCTTAACCATTTTAGATGTAATTCAAAGAGCAACATGCATTACGGAGGACACTCCTTGTGCTGGAGCATCTCTTGATTTTTTTTCTCCGTACGGTGGAGTGAAGGTTCCTTATTCCTGCCAGTTGTCGAGATGTGTGTCAGGGAAGGGGGAACTTACACTCTCTGTTGGGTTTATAATCAACAAATTCTTATCCCAAGCACTAGAGTAGAGCTGAAGTGTCTACCTCCTGAGCTTCCCTTTCAAGGACTCAGCTATAAACGCAACTTCTTCAAAGCCCTTATCGTGTTCCGACTCCCCTCGCAGCTGCTCGCAGCCTCAGGGTGCAGCCACCACTCTCTCGGCTGGTGGGTTGATTTATGCCTCTGAACTGGCGGAGGTGTCACTCGACGATTAGTCTTACGGTAATTATGGAGGGCTTATTTGCAGCATACTTATTCCTCTCCTCATCTCACTGGGATCCATGCTGGTTTTGTTTAGTCAACAAGCTGACAGGTTACCCCTGGTATTTTTTTCTTTCAATTGTCCCTGCCCTTATCTCTCTGTCACAGATCACCACAAGGACACGGAGTGGGAGTTCTGTATTTCTCTTGACTGAGATCGGCTTTTCCTTGGCACGGACCAAAGTCCAGATAAGGGTCCTGCCTCAAAGCTGGTCTGAGTTCTGTAGGTGTCAGCGGGAGGGCTGGCGATATCACTTAAAGCCCTTCCACGGGCGTGTTCTTCAGTCCCTCGTCTTCAAAGTTCGCTCTCCCAGGCTGGGTTAAGTCTGAACAGCTTGCTAATAGGTTATGTCTCCTAAGGATTCTGATAACCTCCTTTAACAATCTTTCAAGGATGGGTTTTATGCCAACCTTAGGATCTTAAAGAGGCAAACAAATGAAACAAACATAGGACCAAACTCATAGCTGACAGAAAAACCAGTTTTCCTGTGATTAGGGTGCATCTAGACAAAGTGGATTGTATTCTTGGTTATATTTACTGGTACACTCGAGCACTTTTTGTTGTTCTTGTTGCTATTATTTTATTTTGTCCTCCCTTCCTCTTTGCCAATTTAATTAAAATGCACTCTAGTTTATCTTGGACAAAAACTTCTGTTTCATGGTATAGTTTGCTTAACTGATGCTGGAGGAATGATGATGTTCTTTGGCTGTGGGCACTACTCTTACGTTGGGGTCATTTGTATAGCCATGGATGAGGTCAATTCTTTGGTTTGCTCCTGGTGCAGGAAAGAATTTAAATAGCAGGCTGTGACTGCTATCCTCACAAATGTCTGCTTGCAAAGCTGGACCTTGCTGGCATCCGGGACTGGGACTGGTCAATTGTCCTCTAATAGAAACCTTTCCCTAAAGGGTAAGGGTGTGTCACTATACCCCAGGTATTTGCACAAACAATGTGGTTTATGCTGAACACCTGCTTTCCTTAGGGGAGACTGGAATTGTTTTATTATTATTGATTTTGAGAGAGAGAGAGAGAGAGAGAGAGAGAGAGAGAGAGAGAGAGAAAGAAAGGGAGGGTGGGTAGTGGGGGGAGTGTGGGAGGGAGGGAGAGGGAGAGAGAGAGAGAGAGAGAGAGAGAGAGAGAGAGAGAGATTGGTTGTTCCACTTATTTATGCATTTATTGGTTGATTCTTGTATGTGCCCTGACCAGGGATTGAACTCACACGCTGACCAACTGAGCTACCTGGGCAGGCTGACACTGGAATTTTGGTATGTGATAGGCAGAGTGTCTGTATGATCAGCCCCCACTACAAACCTTGGGTGCCAAGTCTCAAATGGGCTTCCCTAGGTAGCAACATCACACATATTTTGCTGCATTTTTGTTGCTGGGAGAAGAGTGCTCTCTGGTGATCCCTCATGGGGCGGAAGGGGGGAGGGGAGGAGGAGGAAATAGATAGATAGATAGATAGATAGATAGATAGAGAATAAGGAAGCCTGCATGTGGATTCTTGCAGTGTCTGCCTGTATTTCCTCCCCATCTGATCCTACTGTGTATCCTTACTAAAGCACTGTAATAAATCTTGTTATGAGGATAACTATATTCTGTGCCCCAGGAGCCCAGTAATCCTTTTAGCAAATCTCTGAATGTGGAGTGGTCTTGGGGACCTCTGAAACCGCTCCCCGCTCCCCGCCCCCCCCCCCCCCCACTGTCACTATGACCTTCCAGAGATACCATTTGATGACATTATCCTCAAAGATGCTCATCGGATCCTTAACCCTCTTGATTTCTCATACATAACCATGCATCTTTTAGCTTAGAGTTTCCTGAAGAACGAATGTTTACTTGGTTTATGATTATTCTTTTACTTCCCTAAAGGAAATTGCTCTACTCTATTAAATTTCGTCTTTTGTGGCATAATTGCTAAGTTATTTTTCAGTCAAAATCCATGTCACTCTATCATCAAAAGTAGCTGATGAGCTCTCATTACCAGCAAGTACAATTTAATGTTATATTTTCAAATATATTCAGACACAATTCTGCAATATCGCAAGAGTTTTCATCCTTCAAAAGTGTGCTCAGATATTTAGCAAACTCTCTGTGTTAGTTAATTTTAGATTTTAACCTTAATTAGATATTTTTTGGTAATATTTAAGAATTAATGGGATAATGTTGACATGATCTGGAATTTTTATCTTGTTCAAAAACATGTTTTTATTTTTCCTTAAAGAGGCTTTGAGGCAGCTTCATGCTTATGCATTACAGGTTATGCCACAGGCGGCTCAGCAGTACTGTCCTAACTGACCACTACAGGCAAGCAGCTGGCGTGGCAGACCCTGCAAGTGTGGGCCAAACAGTGATTGTACAAGAGAGAAGAAAGCCCAGGAGAGCCATGTTGCTCAGATTAACATTTTAAAGACTAACCTGTTAGAACAACAAGAACAATATTAGCTCTGTGAAGATTCCTTGGCATAGTCAGTGGTCGGCAAACTGCGGCTCGCGAGCCACATGCGGCTCTTTGGCCCCTTGAGTGCGGCTCTTCCTAAGCCTTAGGAGTACCCTAATTAAGTTAATAACAATGTACCTACCTATATAGTTTAAGTTAAAAAAATCTGGCTCTCAAAAGAAATTTCAATCATTGTACTGTTGATATTTGGCTCTGTTGACTAATGAGTTTGCCAACCACTGGTAGGTAATAGTCAGGTCTTGCCATGGAGTGAAACACACCTTTAAAATGAGGTATTTTTAGAAGTGATAGAATCTCACAGGCCAGTTTGCTATTACTGAATCACGTAATGCTCCAGGGGGCCAAAAGTTATTGTATCCCAAGTGTTCAGATTCTTTCTATGAAGGGATTAATGCCAGATTCATTTAACAGGGTCAGGCCTGTGCTTATTGCTAATATCAATATTTAAAAATATTTTATTTCATCCAAATATTAAGAGTTGCAATTTGGGATGAAGTATATCCTTGGGCATGGAGCCAGCCCTCCAGAAAGTTCTGAATCCTTTCCCACTCTTGATGTGAGGGCTTGCTGCCCCTCTTTGTAGGAGTATCGAGAACCTGGAAACAAAGTATTTAAGGGCTTCTGAATTCAGATATTTCAACTGAACTCAGGACTATACTGACCTGCTAAACAATAAATAAAGTAACTTAGGTAAAAAAAAAAAAATTGAGAGGGAAAAGTACTATTTAGAATTTTTGGAATGGAAGAAGGTGGGGAATGGAGGAGTAAAAATGAGAGTCAGTTTATCTAGATCAGCAGTTCTCAACCTGTGGGTCGCCTAAGACCATCGGAAAACACATATATAATTACATATTGTTTTTGTGATTAATCACTATGCTTTAATTATGTTCAATTTGTAACAATGAAATTGGGGGTCACCACAACATGAGGAACTGTATTAAAGGGTCATGGCATTAGGAAGGTTGAGAACCACTGATCTAGATCATCAGTTTGAACCACTTGTTCAGGTCAGCAGTTAGATCCCTTTTCCCTAATCTGGAAGGGCATTATCTACACTGCTCTTCACTGATACCTGTCTGTCTCTCTGTCTGTCTGTTATTCTTGACATTAACTAAAGAACAGCTCAGGTTATGTAATGACCCCCCAGAAGTTCCTCCGTAATGCTGTCAATGGTGCCTTAAGTGGGCCCCTTGAAAATAACACCATTAAAGATTTTGGAAGAAAATCTATGCATTAAAATGCACTTGAAAGCCTTCCTCAAACACATGCAGCTACACAATATGAGTGTGAATTTTCTGAATATCCCTAAAATGCCAAGGAAATGTGATCACTGCATGAACTGAAGTTTACATTTTCATTTTCACACCCGGAAGATCTGTTCTTGCTTTTCTCCTGGCCCAGTTACACATCCTATGGGACCGTGTGATGCACGAGCAGTTTTAGGAAATAATTGATACATTACTGTGGACTCAAATGCACAGAAGACTGTCAGCCAAATTATGAAAGTTCTAGTATCATAGTGATGGCTGGATCTCCCAGCACGCTCAGAGATGCCCCCGAAAGGTTCTATATTTGCTATTTTAAACAGTACTTAACCATGGGAGCAAAAGAAAGAACACACACATATATATCTTGTGCTCAAATGTATACATGCGTATAGATACCTATGGATAGCTGAAGGCGTATTTAGGTAGAATGAAGTAACTGGCAGAGGCTTACAAATAAGCATAGGCACTTGCAGTACGTGAGAGAAACAGAGGAAAGGTGAATCAAAACGTGAAACGCACCATACTCCGGGACCTGCCCCGTCCCGCGCTTCAGCAGCAGCCTCGCTCTTCTTCCTCCCGACTTGATGAGTTCTATTGCTCTGGCATGTGTCATGTCCCTGGTGCTCTCCCCATTGATTTCAATGATTTGATCTCCTACCTGGTAATTAAAGAAACATTAAGTCACCCACAGACGGTTCTACTCAAGTTGCATTTCCAACAGATTAGATAAGCATCGTAGATTACCAGTTTCCGGGGAGCAGCCAAACGATTTGGTTACAGCCTGCTGCCCCTTAGAAGAAGCTAGTCCCTGGCTGCATCCTGAATCTGACCACCTAACTTAATTTACTTTTATAGAAATGAAGATATCAGACCACGGAGGTTGTGGTGCTGTGGCACTTATATTTAATCAGTTATGGCAGAGACTATAAACTATTGAGTGGTTTTTTAAAAAATATATTTTATTGATTTTTTTACAGGGAGGAAGGGAGAGAGATAGAGAGCTAGAAAGATCGATGAGAGAGAAACATCGATCAGCTGCCTCCTGCACACCCCCTACTGGGGATGTGCCCGCAACCAAGGTACATGCCCTTGACCAGAATCGAACCTGGGACCCTTCAGTCCACAGGCTGACGCTCTATCCACCGAGCCAAACTGGCTAGGGCTAGTGTTTTTTTTAAATTTTTACATTAGGGAATAGATTTGATACCACTATTCCAAATAACGCAGTACCTTTGCTTTGAAACAAGAAATAAATATTTTAAGGCCTTTTCATCGAGGACAATGCCAGCTTTGGGCTTAGTGCAGCATCTAATTCAGCGTGTTGGATGGAATGAATGGTTTTTGGGCTTTTCTGCGAATTTTCATTATGCATCATTTAAATTTCCCTGGGTGCCATTGTGATATTGCCTTCTTTGTAAACACTGGTTGGTTGATATTCAAGTTCGATGATGAGTTTTCTGTCACAGTCCTTTGAATTAGAAATGGGATCCTCCATTCTCTACACATGACTAGTGCCCTTGCTAAATCTTTGCTCTGTTCACACCTGGTTGCCAGAGCTGTTTGGTTAAATACCAATTCCTCCTGATTTGTCAGAAATGCCTGCATCCCATAAGCAATTCCCATTTAGCCTTTGTGAATAGGCATTTGGAATAAAAGAGGTTCAACCATGAGCTCATCATGTAACTCCCAAGTGCCATCATTGTCAGGAAACTTTGAATTAAAATATGTTTCATTTCAGTGGGAATCACTGAAGACAAATTAGCCAGAAAAGCACAATGAGTTGCTTTGTAAAAATGCTATTTCAGTTGGGACCCTTAAGCAAAGCAGATCTCAGTCTAAACTCCACAATGCAGACAGAATTGCAAATGAACTCTCTGTAGGAGAGCGCTACCAAGGTGGGTGCTGCCGGCTGGGCCGAACAGGCACAACGGCCATCCCAGTGGCAAGGGGCACTATAACAAGACCACCTCCTGAAAAGTGGAGGACAGAACAAACACGTTTGTTGTAGCAAGGAAATAACATCTTTACCTAAAGACAGTTCTTCAGGGGTCAGGACTCCAATGCAACGAAGGGCAAGACTTCTCTCTTTATGCAATACTTGGTGGCCCTTAGAAGTATACGATTTTGGGAGGTAGAAGAGGTTGGCCTCACTGGCATGAGTTTCACATCCCACAGAAGAATCATGAAAGACAGGACTAAATTCATTTTTTTTAGGGCCAATGTTTGCAACATTATTTTTTTCAGGTCTCCTTAACTGTCTTCTTTCCCATAAGGCAACAGGCACAGGCTAAAGTCCAGTAGCTTGCTAGAGGCGACACATCCAAGCCAGAGGCAAATGGGACCAATTATGCCTCTCCTAACAGTCCTCACTCATGACTGAAACCTCATAGCATGGAATTAAATTATAGACGTAAACCAAAAGTTCTAATGAGGTTATAACAGTGAGTCTTCATTCCTAGCCAGACACACATATCCAACTGATTACTAATATCTTCACCTAGATGTCCGACGGACAACTCCAACTCAACCCCAGCAGACGGGGCTTACCATTTCTCTACCAAAGCAGTGTTTCCTCTTAATTCTTGAGGCTGGTTATGCCACCACTGTGCACCCAAGGCAGAAACCGGGGGGTCATGCTGGGCTCCTTATTTCCTCAACTTCTCTGCATCTGTCTCTCTTCTCAAATTAGATTCCATTGCTAACTAGCTCAGTTCAGGCCTTTAACTGGATTATTCCACTAATCTCCTATTAACTTATTATGAATATCGTCTCCATTCTTCTAAGGGAAATCTTCCCCAATGCATCATGCAAACTGAGGTGTTTAGGCATTTCCATGTGCCACCACTCTCTTTGTCTCTCCTCCCCACGGACCTGGTGACCTCCCAACCTTCCTCAAGGCCATTCTAAGCATCTTCTCTGTGGGACACCTTCCTAGACCCTGTCTTCTTCTAAAGCAGAAGTGTCCAGGCATCATCACTACACCCCACTCTGTGGTTTCTCACACCTCACACAGAGCCGTGATTCTCTGTCTTCCCTTCTGCACTTTGAGATCCTTCACTCATCAAACAATTTCTGAGTACCTATTAGGTGCTACACAGTCTATTAGGGAGATAAAATAAAGAGAGTGATAAATGGTATAGTTTCTCTCTACAAAAAGTTCCAGTGTAGTTGGAGAGAAAGTGAGTAAATAAGATTATTATTATTATTATTCAATATACCTTTGCTATGACAGAGGTTATTAGCAAAGTGCGAATGAAACAGAAAGCGGGGTTATCAAACTCAGAATGGGCAGGGCTGGTAGTCAGGGAGCGTTTCCTAGAAATGGTGACATCTCAAATAAGTTTTGAAGTGTCAGTAGGAGTGCCCCAGGTGAAGGAGGAGGAACAGCATTCTAGGTAGAGAGAGCAGTCTTTGCAAAGGCCCAGAGATTTGAGAGCATAGTACACTCAGCAAACTGTTATTGTATTCTGCTACTCAAGAGTTTGGACTTAATTTTAGAGGCAACAGCAAGGCACTGAAAATTCTATTTTATTTTAATTTTTTATTGTTTAAAGTATTATAAACAGTAGTACATATGTCTCTTTTTCCCCCCTATTGACCTCCCCCCAGCTTCCTCCACTCCCCCCCCCACCGCCCCCGGCACATGCCCTCAGCCCCACTCCAGTGTCTTGCGTCCACTGGTTATGCTTATATGCATGCATACAAGTCCTTTGGTTGGTCTCTTACCCCCCGCCACCCCCCACAACCCTCCCCTGCCTTCCGCTGTAGTTTGACAGTCTGTTCAATGCTTCTTTGCCTCTGTATCTATTTTTGTTCATCAGTTTATAATGTTCTTTATATTCCACAAATGAGTGAGATCATGTGGTATTTTTCTTTCTCTGACTGGCTTATTTCACTTAGCATAATGCTCTCCAGTTCCATCCATGCTGTTGCAAATGGTAAGAATCCCTTTTTTTTTTTTTTTTTTTTTTTTAGCAGCATAGTATTCCATTGGGTAAATGTACCACAGTTTTCTAATCCACTCCCCTGCTGATGGGCATTTAGGCTGTTTCCAAATCTTAGCTATTGTAAATTGTGCTGCTATGAACATAGGGGTGCATATATCCTTTCTGATTGGTGTTTATGGTTTCTTAGGATATATTCCTAAAAGTGGGATCACTGGGTCAAATGGGAATTCCATTTTTAACTTTTTGAGGGAACTCCATACTGTTCTGCACAGTGGCTGCACCAGTCTGCAGTCCCACCAGCAGTGCAGGAGGGTTCCTTTTTCTCCGCATCCTCTCCAGCACTTGTCATTTGTTGATTTGTTGATGATAGCCATTCTGACAGGTGTGAGATGGTACCTCATTGTTGTTTTGATTTGCATCTCTCAGATGGTTAGTGACTTTGAGCATGTTTTCATATGTCTCTTGGCTTTCTGTATGTCCTCTTTTGAAAGTGTCTATTTAGGTCCTTTGGCCATTTTTTGATTGGATTGTTTATCTTCCTTTTGTTGTTGTATGAGCTTGTTGTAAATTTTGGAGATTAAACCTTTATCGGAGATAACGTTGGCAAATACGTACTCCCATGCAGTGGGCTTTCTTGTTGTTTTGTTGATGATTTCTTTCGCTGTGCAGAAGCTTTTTATTTTGATGAAGTCCCATTTGTTTATTTTCTCCTTAGTTTCCATTGCCCTAGGAGCTGTATTGGTAAAGATATTGCTACAACAAATGTCTGCTATTTTGGTGCCTATGGCTTCTTCTAAGATTTTTATGTTTTCCCATCTTATGCTTAAGTCCTTTATCCATTTTGAGTTTATTTTTGTGTATGGTATAAGTTGATGTTCTAGTTTCATTTTTTTGCAAGTATCTGCCCAATTTTCCCAACAATATTTATTGAATGGACTGTCTTGACTCCATTATACAATGGAGTATGATCTTGCCTCCTTTGTCAAATATTAATTGAGCATAATGGCTTGTGTCAATCTCTGGGTTCTCTGTTCTGTTTCACTGGTCTAGTATATGTCTGTTCTTGGAGGCACTGAAAATTTTAAAGAGGAAGTAACTTGACCAGGAAAACAGAGTGCTGTTTAGAAATCAACCTGAGACATCGGTATGAAGAGTGAATTGGAGAGGAAGTGGGAGACTGAAGGCGGGAACTGAAGTCATGAGGTTATCACATTGCCTACCCAAGTGGGGAATTGGGAGGCTGTGGGGAATGAGATAATGGGGCAAAAGAGGGCAGGGAGTGGGTCCCATATAACTATGTACCTTGCTCGGGGTGCACCACATATATTTGTCAATGAACGAAACATTTCCACAGGCTCATCTTGAGAATCATGGGAGAAGGGGTTATAAGCAATTTCAACCAAAAAATCAGACCTTGGTAATCACCACACTTGAGGACACTTCTGTCTCGAGACTGACTTTTCAACAAGAACCGTGTGGAGAATCTCGTGGGGAGAAATAGTCACATCATTTGCACTCTGGTCACATATTTTCTATGGCAATGACTTAGCAAATTTGATGTTTTCTTTCTCATGTATGTTTATTTTCCCTTTCCCTACTAAGAGCTCATGAGAATTAAGGGAGAAAAAATTATCATGGCGGCGTGAGTGGTGGGTTGGAAGACTGTGTGGGATGTTGAGAAGCAATGGGGTTCAGGGCTGCACAGGGGCTG